TCACACTCCGGGCAGACTTTTGGGGCTGTGTGATGAGTGGCTGTGGGTGGCTAGTGGGCAGGGGGCTCTGTCCTGGCTAGAAGACAGGTCAACATGAGGCTGCCACGTTGGGGAGCCCTGAGGTTCAGCTGCTGTAGAAGTGCCCTCATGGGGTCTCGGCTCAGGGCTGTGCTCGTCCGAGGGAGCTGGGACAAGCCACTTTAGCTCCCAAGGCTGCAGTGTCCTCCCCTGTGAATGGTGGATGCTCCCCAGGTCTCAGGCTGCTGGGGTTCTGGCACCTAGTAGGTGATCAGTAAACGTTTCAGCCCTTCCCCATGCAGCTCGATTCCGACGAGTCCCATCTCTGTCAGAGTAGAACTGGGCTCCGGCAGGCTTCCGTGGCTGTGATCCTTTGGCAGTCGACCCCCAGGCCTTTCATCTGAGGTGCCTCTGGGTGGACTCGAACCTCCGGCCTTCTGGTTTGCAGCCGGGTGATAATCATCTGCACCACCCTTCCCCACTGCGAACATAAAGGCTCACCCCTGGCAAGCCCCTCAGCTCTCTTTTCAAGCCCCTTCCACCTTTTTTTAAAATCTCAATTTACAAGGTGGCTGCAAAGTATACAGACTGAGATCACACAGACCTTTCCTGAAATTGTGGTTTCGTCACTGATTAACTGTGCAATCTTGAACGCTACGCTTACCATCTCTGGGCTCCTCAGGCCAGACCTAGGAAACTTGTACAGGCTACTCATCATCACGCTGCAAACATGAGGCAAGGTCAGCAGACAGTGCCCACACACGATGGGCGCTTCATAAACACTCAGCCCCTTTCTTTAACTAGCTTAAAGAGTGTGACACGGTGGGCTGCTAACCGCAAGGTCAGCAGTTCAAAACCACTGGCCGCTCCAAGGGAGAAAGACGAGGCTTTCCATTCCCTTCAAGAGTCACATCTGGGAAGCCCACAGGGCCGTTCGCCCCTGTCTTGATACAGGGTCACTAGGAGTCGGAGCCGACTTGATGGCAGTGAGGGTGAGTTTCTTTGGTACTTTGTTAACTTACGACGCGTCAACTGTGGCTCCCGTAGACTGAGTGTGGGGCAGTAAATGGCCAGGCCTTTCTTCTGAGGGCCCTCCGAGTGGACTCAGACTTCCCAGCCTCCCCTTTAGCAGCAGGAGTGTCCACCCTGTGCACCACGGGGGACTCCATTCCTGGTGCTGGACACAAAACAAGCCCGCTGTCATCGAGTCGACTGCACCGGAAGAATGGCCCCTGTGGGCTTCCAAAGATTTTTCCGTAAATCTTTGCAGGAGCAGAAAGCCCCATCTTTCTTCTACGGAGCGAGTGCCGACCTGTGACCCACCATGCCACCAGGGGTCCTGCAGCTGGCGATGAGTGGGGATCGATTAGAGGGCAGTGGGCTTGCTTCAGGAGAGGGCTCGTTCCCAGGTCACAGACACCCGCCTGTGCTGGATGGGCAATCTGTTTCTAAATGGTTCTCCTGCGGAGGGCTTGTGAACTGAATGAACACTGGTCTCTTTAAAGCCCCTGGGCAGCTTTCCCCAGAGCATCCATGGATAAGGGCCTATGTTTACGGAGAGTCCAAATGCACCCTGTGACCTCTGCCCCTGAGCAATCCTTGCCCACCTCCCTAGCTCAGCCTTTCCTCTCATCTAAGAAGAGCCTCGGGCAATGGCGTTGACTGCGGAAGATGGCACGCCATGCCCGCCAGTGTCCCTGGCTGCCCAGACGAAGCTGCTGGCATGCCGCACTCCGCAGATGGCGTTCTTGCTGGGAATTTTGGCGGATTCTTGGCCACTGGGAAAGGGAACTGCTAACAAGGGGAACGGTCTAGTCTGCCCCTTCTTCCAGTAGGAGGGTGTGTGGGAGCTCCTGGGACCTGCCAGGCGTACACCTTCTCGCCTGGGGCTTAATCTTCAGAACCCACCTGCAAGGGCAGACTTCACCGGACCCGAAGGCACTGGGCGGCACCGAAGGTGGAAAGTTGGACTCTTCAGCCTCATGCCATCCCTTCTCCACGGCCTGTCGTCCTTGCAGTCAAGTTGGCTGATCCTGGCGGCTCTGCGTACAGCAGAGAGGCACTGCCTGGTCCTGGGCCACCTTCCTGGGCATTGCCACTCTTGCCCCCTGGTCACAACCACTGTGGATTTGGAGCAGCTTCCCTTCGGCCCTCTGCCAGGCAAGATTGGTTGTAATCCCGAGGAATCTGGCAGGCAACATTTCAGAAGTTGGTTTCTTCCCAGTCTGCCTTTGTCTGGAAGTTCTGCTGAAACCTGCCCACGTGGCTGGCCCTGCTGGCCGATGAGATACTGGCAGCTTGGCGTCCAGCAGCACAGCAACCTGCAAGCCACCACAGTATGGCCTCTGACAAGGAGGAGGGGGTCCCCAAGAGCATCCCCACCCCCATACGCACCATCTTACACACGACGTCAGGGTTTTCATGCACCCAGATAACACCCGTCCTTGGGCTGTGCACCCCGGTTCAAGTGCTATTTGTCCAAGTTCAAGTTCAAAGCAGTGCAGGCAGTCATTGGGAAGCAGCGGCGGGGTGTGTTTAGAGAGGGGAAGGCAGGGCTGGTATTTGGCAAGGCTTCCCTGCACTCAAAGACAGACCAAGGTATCAATCTCCTTTGGCAATGAGAGTTTCCTTTTCATTGGTGGGTTTAAAAATGGCCTAGCAGGGGGGGGGGGGGGGAGCAACCCACCCATATGCCCTCCAAACGGGGCGGGGACATGCACCCAGAGGCAGAGGCCGGCTTGGCAGGGCTTGGTTCTCGGTCTCAGATGCCTGGGCAGCCAGCACCCCCGGTGGAAACGGGCCAGCCCGAGTTGGAAACTGCCACCCTGCTCCCCTCCCCTTGGCTTTGCAAATAAAATGCGGTCACCCTGGTGTGACTGGCTAGGCCTGGTACGCCTGTCAACAGCTTCGAGGTGGTCGAGGCGGGCAAGAGACGGGGAAGGAGGACAGGATAGTGCAGCTGGAGGGCGGAGAATCCGCTCGTTCCAGGCCTAAGTGGCGGCCCTCTCAGCTTGAGGGGCTCCGGTGCCCCGAGTTCCCAGGCGGTGAGGTCATCCCCACACCCCCTCCAAGTGTGCTTGGCCCACCACGCGGGATTCCCAGGCCAGCTCCGGTCCTCTGCTGGCCCGTGGCTGAAGGTCTCTTCCCTGATAAAAGGACACAGGAAACTCCGGCCTCAGAGGCACAGGCTCCCAGGGTTAGGGGAGGGGTGGGGGAGCCTGTCCTCATTCCTTCCCGAGGACATCACTTCCCCCTGCTTCTGACATTTATGGAGCATCTGGGCCCCCGCCAGGACCAGCACTAGGGGCAGGGGCTGGGCATAGGCACAGCAGACAGCAGCCCGGCCCTCTTGGGCCGAAGGACCAGGAGGGACAGGTACTTGAGGCTGCCAAGACTGCAATCGTCGACACAGGAGGCTGGGTGGTGGCGATGACCGAAGAGGAGTGGTTGGGAGCGTGGTGTGCGATGCGGACCGTGTGTCAGGCAGAGGGAACAGCAAGGCCAAGGCTAGGAGGAGTCAGCAGCAGAATGCCCCTGGGACCCAAACGGTGTCTGGGGCAGAGGAAAGTGGAGGTGGACGGGGATTGGGGCTGCGCCCAGTGGTCCCAATGGCCTTGTTGTGGAGGCTGCTGCTGGAGATGGCTCTGGGGCCATCAGAGGGCTGGGGTAGAATGGGACCCCAAAGATTGCTTCTCCCCGAGTCTTCCTGTCTCTCCCCCTAGAACTGTGCTGTCAAAATGACCCGGCACCATTGTTGCTGCTAGTTCGTGCCTGCCAAGATGGCTCTGACTCATAACATAAGACCCACGCACAATGAAATGACACAAAGCAAAAAGCGTCCCAGTCCTGAACCATCCCCGTGACCACTGTATTCCATTGAGGCTTTCACTGCTCAATTTTGGGAGTGGATTGCCAGGCCTTTCTTCCTAGTCTGAAACCTGTTCGGCACCATAGCCCTCTACTGACGGAGGGTGGTGGCTGGGGACCAACCCAGCTCTCCCGCACACTCACTCACTTCCGTCAAGTGGATTCTGACTCACAGCGACCTATAGCACACAGTAGGGCTACCTCTATGGTTTCCAACTGTAACTCTTTACACAAGGACACAGCCTCATCTTTCTCCCACCGAGGGGCCGGTGGGTTTGAACTGCCCAATTGTCACCAGGGCTTCTTCTCTCCCACGAAGGGCGAGAATTCTGCCACTGACAGCAGCCCAGCTTTCAAATGTCACTTCCACGGGCTACCACAGTCCTGCTGGTGGGCACCTGTTTCTCCCAGCAGCCTGGCAGCTGCCAAGTGATAGGACAGTGGGGTCCACTTTTGCCCTGAGCATGACTTCTCCCGGGGCCGTCTGGGCGTCCTGAAGGCTAGCTACTTGCTGACCTGACCCTGGTACACCCCTGCAGGGCCTCTGCCAGATGGTCCTGCTTTTCAGGGTCAACAGCAGTGGGTGCTGGGGCAGGAGGCACCACCTCCCGTGAGCAGCACCGCCCCTTCCTGGAGCCAAGGAGATGTTGCTCACCAATCCAGCAGCGGGGCAAGACGGCTGCTGGTTTCCAGAGGGGCAGGGTCCCCCAAAAGGTGTGCCAGGGGCTCCGTCTGCACCCCCCTCCAGTAGCTTCCAGATGAGGAAACCGAGGCCCAGGGAGGGCACAGTGGCCTAGGCTGTGAGAACCCTGCTGAGCCCGAGGCGGCATAGCATCTTTTCTGTTTCTGTCTTGCTCTCCCCACTCTCTCCTTGACCTTCACTTGCAAGAAAAGGCTACTCGGAGGGCAAGTTGCTAAAGCCCCTTCTGGGAGAGCGGGTGAGCAGGGTGAGCACCACCCTGGCCTGGTCTCTGGAAGGAAGCACTGGCTGGGGGGATGGCTCGGGGGAATCCATCCATCAGCTTGTTTTGAACTGCTCAAAGGCCACATTTGGCGGAACTTGGGATGAACAAAGCATCTAAAAAAGGAAAGCTGGTGACTGATTGGGGGGGGGGCAGTGCCAAGTGTCCCTGAGGTCTCAAAATGATGGTGCGTGGGGCATGAAGGGGGGCAGACCTCCCACAGGGCATGCAAAGAGCCTGGTCCTCCACCCACAGGTCTGCGTGGGGTCCTCCCAACAGTCTTGGAGGTCTGCCTGCTACCAGACCCACTGCCAGAGGAGAGGAGGCTCAGAGAAGCTGGGAGCGCTGCCCAAGGCCACACAGCCAGGAAGGGGTATAGCTGGCATTTGAACCCACACCAGCCTGGTTCCACGGCAGCTTCTTCCAGCAAAGTGTGACCGTCATCTGTGCAGGGAAGGAACCCAGTACGCAGGGCCTCACCCTTGGCTCTGAGCCCCCGCTGCCTCCCCATCCCCCCACCCCACTGCCTCCTCCACCGATTTCTCCTCAAGCTAGGCCTGTTCACCAGGCCCTCCACACAGGGCTGGTTCCTCTTGCCCCCAGTGCTTGCAGCACCAGTCGATTCAGGTGAGTGTGGCCTGAGGCCACTGCAGGAAGCCGGAAGGGAAAGGGTTCACGGAAATGCAAACTCTGGAGCCTTGATGAAATCGCCACCCTGCACCACCCGCCCAGGCTTGACTGTTTCCCTGGGCAGAGTCCAAGTCCACGGCTCGCTGGGCCCCTCTACGGCCCCTGAGCACATTTCTCAGATGAGGGTAATAGGTGCAGGGAGCGGGTGGGGCTGGCCCCAAGTCAGGAAGCAGGTGAGCAGCCAGTCAGGGGTCCACAGAGAGCTGATTGCAAGACCTGTGCAAGCTCTTGACCTCTGTGTGCAATGACTTTCCTGGCCTTGCAGCAGCTACTGGGAGAATTACCAATCTACGCGCCCCCCCGCCCCCCCGCCCCCCAGCCCCCTCACCTAGCCTCCTTGCTGAGCAGAGCTAGGGGTGATTGCCCCGCCCCTTCCATCAATTCAGGGAGTGCAGACTCCAAGTCTCTAAGTAGGAAGGAAGAAAGCGAATGGACATTTATGGAGTAGGGGCTTGGCATCCCACGAGGGAGGCACCAACATTGCTCCATCCTAACTAAGAGGAAGTAGAGGCTCAGAAAGGGAAAGTGACTTGCCAAGAGCCACAAAGCTTCAACAGTCTGGAACTGAGGACGCAGGACTGCTACCCACACTAGTGCTCTTCCCACCCCCTCTTGGGACTCCAGCCAAAGGCCCCATGGACACCTTGGTGGCATAGTGGTTACAAGATAGGCTGAAATCCGCATGGTTGGCAGTTGGAAACCACCAGCAGCTCCAGGGGAGAAAGACTGGGTTTTCTACTCCCGTCAACAATCACAGACAGTCGCAGGAGCCCATAGGGGTTGCTATGCGTCAGCACTGACTGGAGGGCAGGGAGAGGGTAGTCCTTGGGTGACCCTTCATGAGGCCTACAGTGTCCCAATCTACCAATGGACCTGCTGATTCCCAGCCCCCTCTGGTCCCAGGGAACATCTCCAGGGCTGATAGGTGGCTGCATGCCATACCCGAGACCTGGAAATTCCACTCTGCCCTTCAGTTGCCTCTTCTGAGGAGCGAGGATCCCCTCCTCTTGGGTGGAAAGTTACCGGCCGATCCAGCCCTGGGACACTGGCTGTGTGTGTGATCCAACCCTAGGACACTGGCTGTGTGTGTGATCCAGCCCTGGGACACTGGCTGTGTGTGTGTTCACCCATCTCACAAATCCCAGGGTCCAGGGAAGAGAGCATGTGCCGGGGGTATACTGTGCTATCAACAACGTGTAATGTGGAGGATGTACACACAGGACCCCTTTAAATAGCTGGGGGCATTCTGCCAAGTGCCAAGATGCCCCAGACGGCCCCGCCCCACCCTGGCTTGCCTACTCTCCCAGAGGAACGAGGCTGCTGTGGGCTGTCCTTTCCCCAATGGCTTACTCATTAAAGAACTCTCACCACTGTGCAGAGGTGAGGCAAGAGGGCAGCTCTGAGCTGGCCTGAGCTCCTGAAAGAAGAACAGGGAAAGGAAAGGAGGGGCGAGGGTAGGCTGGGA